CTGTCTGCACCCTCTGCTCCTGTCTGCACCCTGTCCTGCTCTGTCTGCACCCTGTCCTGCAGTGTCTGCACCCTCTGCTCCTGTCTGCACCCTGTCCTGCAGTGTCTGCACCCTCTGCTCCTGTCTCCTCCCTGTGCTGCAGTGTATTCAAGTTCTGCTCCTGTCTGCTGGGTCACAGGCTGCAGATCTCACTGTGCTGGGTTTCTTTTGCAGGATTACAGCCCAGTGACAGAGCAGCCAGCTTCACTGCCTGTCCCGACAGCTCCGCTCTGGATCTCTGTGGACTTTCTAACTAAAGAGAGGCCTACGAAAATAAAAATACAGATGATGCTGCAGACCTTCTGTAACAAAGAAATACAATGTGAAATATCAAGAATTCAGCTGGTGGAGGAGGGTACCCCACATTATGAGCTGCAGATATCACCCCCATTTGGTGAGACAGAAGTAACTGCACGTTCTTCCTTGTGTCCACATACCAGGCCATTTGATAAGATCACTTTATTGTCCATATACAATTTCTTGCATTAGAAATTTGTCTTTTCACATACCCCAGCTTGCTATCCAGGAGACACAGACACACAGACAGGGAGAGAAGCTTGGGGTCAGAGCGCAGGGTCAGCCATTTATACAGCACCCCTGGAGCAGTTGGGGTTAAGGGCCTTTCTCAGGGGCCCAATCGTCTGCCAGCCACGGGATTTGAACCAGCAACCTTCCAGCCACAGGTGCAGAGCCTTAGCCACAGAGCCACCGCATTGCCTCCTATAATGATCTTTATGTTGATCTGCTTTTGCATTTCATGAGGTCACATAGTTGCTATTGGTCGTTCTTGCAGACTGGGGTCCCCACGCCCCATTTTAACATCAGTGTTTCCAAACACATATACTGAGAGAACCAGTAGGATTTGTTCCAGTTTGAATGCCCGACTAACACAGATTATATGCACAACATCAGTGACAAATCCCTTCCTGAAACTCTAAAGAGAAACATCATGAGAGTGTAAGTCTTAATTCCCTTTTGAATGGTTTCTCCCCAGCTTTGAGGGAGAAAAACAGACGTGTAAGGTCTGCAAATGAATTTGTCTCACCAGCTCTGGCTGACCAGGCCCATAGGCCCTAGGCCCCTGAGACTCCCTGCTGGCCTGTTCCACCTGGACCCTTGCCATCCAGCTTGCCTGGACCCTGCAGGACGGGTGTCTGACCACAGACCCCCAATACTGAGGCCGTCTCTCCATGAAAGAGCCCTGGAGTTTAGTTTAGGTTGCAGTGTGAGTGAATCTCGTCTCTCGTCTCGTCTTGTTTCTTACAGCTGTGCCAAGGCTGCTGGAGAACAGATTCTTGGAGCTGGAGAAAGACAAAATGAAAGTGAGAGTTCACTTCTTAGAGTCCCGGTCACAGCTTGGAGCCCCACCTCAGAGCCCCACCACCACACCGATACAGGTCTGTACTGCAGGCTCCTGCTGGGCCCGGTTCTGTCGGTCCTAAAGCATGTCTCCCCCGAGTGTGTCCCCCCCAGCACACGCCCAGCTTTGGTCCAGCGATCGGCCAGGTCGTCCAGCCCCTCACTACAACCAGCTGTGCTGGTCCTTTCTTGGTTTTTTAATGTTTCCAATGTCCGTTTTCTTATCCAGTTGTAGAAGTAACTCCACATCCCCAGAAATAGAGATTGATTTGTTTTTCCAAAAATGGTTTGATTGTGCAAATGGAGACGTCAGTTAGGGAGTCAATACCATGGCGGAGAGTTCAACTGACACAAGTGCCTGGTCTTTTTTTAAAAAAAATCTTTTTTTATTTTTTTTAAATATTAAAGCTCTCTCTATAGAAACCATGTCTTTCTTGGAAATGTGCAGACCTTTGAACTTTGCGCCAGGTTCCTGATGTGCAGTTTATGAACTCCAGGTTAATGTTTTTTTAATGAAGAATTTTCTCAAGTAATACAGGCGATATTCAGAGATGCTTTGCTGCGCTCTTACAGCTGGGGTTTTTTCTCAAAGTGCTGGTCCCAAGGGAGCCCTGAGTGACTCCCTGGGATTCGCAGACTTGCAGTCTCTGTCCTTCCTCAGCGCAGAGAGCTCGCTGAACAAATTACTGTACTCCCTTCCGTTATTGTCCCAGACAGGAAATTTGCTTTTCAAAGCAGCTAAAAGACGGAACACAATACATAATTAACACAAACGTAAACCTTTTAACAGATAGGAAACACACATGCATAAGATGAGAAAAACAAGAGACCAGGTTAAAAAATCTTCACCGTTTAGAAAAAAACAAGACAATGGGTCATCAGCATGTGGGAGAGGTGCAGAAGAGACATGCATGATGAAAAAAACAAAGAAAAACCTCCAGTCATTTGTCCAAACTAAGCAAATTAAGCTGGTGGTCAATCCCAGGAAGGATTGAACTGCTGTGCATCCGAAGTCTGAGCTCCGTGCTTGTCCGTGTGTCTTCCAGGAGCAGATCCCAGTGAGAGTGACGGTGCAGGCAGATCTCACAGGGCTTGGCGCGCAGGCAGCAGAGCATCTTCTGCTGTTGTATGGGAAAGGGAGCCCTTCTCCGCGTGAATTCACCATGACGGGCTCCTTCGAGGAGGTGGCCAAGTTCCACCGGGCATTCTGCGAGTGCCTTCCGAATTCCCAGAGGGCCCCCCGAGAACCCGAGGGGGCAGAGAGCGGGCCAGCCAGGGCCCCACTGGGGCTGCTTAATGGGGACCCTGGTCCCAGTGCTACAGACACGGCAGAACCAGGTGTGCCAGGGAGCAAGGCGCCCATCCCTGTGCCCCTGCTGCATTTTGACTACGTCAGCAAGGCCTACAAGGATGAGATTCAGAAGATCGAGCGAGAGAACAAGGTGGCGATCACCCCCAACGTCTCGGTGTCAATCGATCCAGCAGGAGGCAGTGAAGGCAAGGCCACAGTGGAGAGAGCCGAGAAAGAGTTCATCAGCCTCTTCCAGGACGTGGCGTCCCACGCGTCTTGTGTCCAGATCCCCCAGCCCAGCCTGGATCACGTGGCCGAGGCGCAGAGAGAAGAGGCCAGGCTGGTTCTGAGCGTCACTGCGAAGGGCTGCCAGGTGATCGGACCTGCAAGGAGTCTGGCCAAGGCCCGGATGGGTGGAGGGGCAACAACAAGTTTCAGATCTGGTGTGGAGTCGGTGCCGGAGCTGGAGATAAAGAGCCAGGACCCTCTGGTGGACCAGGGCCTGGAGATACACCAGACTTACTTTCACTTCATCCGTTGTCTGTTTATAAATCAGGTGGCGGCTATCCAGCAGAAATATGGAGTGATAATTAGGGCACAAGACCTGGATGACTCTGCAATGACATTGAAGGTGAAAGTTGAGCCTGGGGAAGGCAGAGCAAACCTGCAGTCTCACGCTCTCCGTGCGTTCATACAGCTCTACCAGAAAGTGGCCACCAAGATCATGGGCTGCACACTGCAGGACCCCAAAGACACAGAGAAGGCCAAGACAGTCTTCAGAGAAATCTGTGCTCGCCACCCTCTTGTGATTGATGTGGAAGCACCTGGCCACTGGAAGCTGATCGGTTTTCCAGAGCACCTGAGTCCCGTGGTGACAGAGATCGAAGCCAAGCTGGGGGGTCCTGTCTTCACAGAGGGGGCGAGACTGCGGAGTGGGCCCTTGGGCTCGGGGCCCTCAGCCAGGCCTGAAGGGGCCACTGGAGGCCAAGACCACAGTACAGAAGACCAGGAGGACACCTGCCCAATCTGCATGGACTCCTTCCATAGTCCAGAGACGCTGAGGTGCAAGCACCGGTTCTGCAAGGAGTGCCTGGAGAAGTCAGTGGAGGCCATGGGCCCCACCTGTCCCATCTGCAAGGACGTGTTCGGGCGGGTGGAGGGGAACCAGCCTGATGGCAGCATGGTTTGGAACATACAGCCATTTTCTCTACCAGGATACCCAAGCTTCAACACAATTGAGATTCACTACTCGATTCCCAATGGGAAACAAACGGTAAGAGCCTGGTTTCTGTCTTGCAGTTAGGCAGCTCGGCCTGGCTTCCTGCCGCAGGGTATTCCAGCATGGGGCTCAGTAGAAGCCAGTGGAACACTGATCAGGGGTGGTATCTTTCCCTTGAGGTTGCAGGCAGTGTGATTTCGCGCGTGTTAAAAAACGTTTTCCCATGAACTATTTAAATAGCTCTTTTTTCCCGCCAAAACCCACTGCGGTGTCGCGACACTCTGGGTGAGATGGCCTTCTGAGTCACGGTGCTGTGGGCAGTCCACCCTGAGCTGGCAGCTGATGCCCCGCTGACTGTGTGGCAAACATCAGTGTCACCCATAAGCAAGGGGTGTGTGGTGGAACTGACCCTTTGGTGGGGGAGTACCCTAGCTCTCTGAGCACTGACACCCCCTGTTGCAGGTGGCGTGTCCTCTAAATTTGTTGACCATTTCTATGTGGCAGCCAAAGATCTGCTGCCTTCCAGGGAGCTCACGGTGTGAATCACTGGCTCTGCAGTACATTTCTAAACCGCGGCTTTGAAGAAAGAAAATGAAGTTTAATTGATTGATTCTCCGTGTGGCTGAAAGGCACTGCTGTGGGCTCGATGTTATCTTTCCGATGTCGGATGTGATTTCAGGACAAGCATCCCAACCCAGGCAGGCTTTTCCATGGAGCAGAGAGAACAGCGTACCTGCCTGACAGCCCTGAGGGCCGTGAAGTGCTGATGCTGCTGAAGAAAGCCTTCGACCAGAAGCTGATCTTCACAGTGGGCACGTCCAGGACCACAGGAGCAGCGGACGTCGTCACCTGGAACGACATCCATCACAAGACCAACACCGGTGGAGGCCCGCAGGCGTGAGTGATCCTGGATTCACGTTCCTCCCCTGTAAACTCACCTGCATACAGAGCTGCAGTCCAGCTCGGATGCCCAAACCAAGGGGAGCAGATCTTCACTTGGCTCCACAGCCTCTGAGCTCCCTTCACTTGCCCAGCGGCTGCCCGTGTCTGTGGACACCTGGGTCCCCAGCAGCTGCTGAACAGGAGGCCCTGACAACATTCTGGGGTTTGTGGGGTTGGGGTAATGTGTACAGCAATCACAACAACAGTCTTTATACTAACGGCGATAATAATAAAAGCTACCTGCACCCAGAGGTAAATACAGTATGTTCTGCTAAAGTGAAACCTCAATGGCTGCTTATTGCTCTTTCAGAGTGGTACAGTGCCCTGAAATAAATAATAACAATTCCTTACACTTACTGTATATACTGTAGCTCTTTCCTAGACACTGGAGTCAAAGTGCTTCACAGGTAATGGGGACTCTCCTCCACCACCTGGATGATGTGACAGCAGCCATAGTGCACCAGTACCTC